TGTATATTTGTGGTACATTGGGCCCCACGCCAAATCACCCCTGCCAGCATCGCTGCATCCTCTGTGGACAAGATCACCTGACAGGTGCGGCGGAATGCCGTAAACGCTTCCAGCCTCGCCGCACCCTACCGAAAATCCTACCCTACGTACCCCCCACAACCCCCGGGACCGGACCTGACCGCATCACCACGACTTTCACCACACTCGGACTCACCTACAGCCAAGCCGCTCAGGGCCAGGTGCGCGCAGCTCTGCTCCCAACTCCCCCAATTCACCCACACTCACCCTCGCCCTCCACATGACAGGACGAAATGCGCCAAATGCGCCAGGAAATGCACCAATTGCGTAACACTATCACCTTCCTCCGCGCAGACAATGAACGCATACAAGCGGAAAACCGTCTCCTTAAACAGCAACTCCAAACCTCCCACAACCCTCCAGCCCCGTCACCCGATCAGCTAACCACCTCCCCCCCCCCCCCCCCCCCGAATAAGAAACGAGCACTGCCCCCGGCCTCCCTCCCCCCCCCCCCCCCCACACACACACACAAACACACATACTGGCCCTCACCCCACATCCTCAATTAACGCAGAAATAGCCACCCTACGTGCCCAAAATAGAAACGGCTTTCGATAACCACCGCCAACCCACCTCTGCCCAAATCAATGCAATCCAAGATTTGGTACACTCCCTACATCAACAAGTCCTACAATGGATTCATCTTGCCGCCCCAACTACCACACCCCTACCTATAATCCCCGAAAACGACCCGGGCCTCTAACCGCCAATACATCTGGCAATGAAACTGCCGCAGTTTTCGAACTAAAAGGGCAGACCTCCAAGGACACATTGCATCCATACCCAACCGCCCCCCCCCCCCCCACCCAAATCCTCATTGCACTACAGGAAACATACCACTCACCCAAGCTCAAAGACTATGCATCTCACTCCCTATTGGATTTCCCCCAGATAGCCACCCTTGTGGCTATCTGGGGGAAGTCGCTTACATCGCAATATTGTCACCCAGCACCAAACTTTCGCCTCACCGATTTCGCACATACTCACCACACTCCACCTTCCCAAATCCCCTGTCACACGCCTGCACGTTCTTAATATCTATAACCCCCCAAATCCAAACACATATCCTTCAAATACATCTTCCAGCAGGCACTTGCTCTCACTAAACGTGACCCTCTCCTAATTGTAGGTGACTTCAACGCCCCTAACATAGAGTGGGGCTACTCTTAAGGAGCATTCCCACCGGCGATGTAAGCAGTCGCGCGATGCGACTAGATCGCATCGCAAAAAAAGTTAGATGGTCACACCGGCGTGCACGATGAGCGAGTCCAACGCCTTCGTTGGCGAGTCTTTTCTCCAAAACTCTCGCTCCGAACGCCGTTAATTGGCTCAGCCGCACCGCAACCAGATCGCATCGCAAAAAAGTCGCGTCGAGTAGCGACTGCTCAAATCGCGTCGCTTTTTGCCCGCGATGGTCGCTTTTGCGATGAAAGTTATCGCGCGACTAGATCGTATCACCGGTGGGAACGCGCCTTTATACCACTCGCAAAGGCCGCCTACTTTCTGAACTTACCCATTATCTGCACCTCACCCTGTTAACCGACCCGTCCTCCCCCACACGCATTGGCAACAGTGCCCAGCGCGATACCACTCCCGACCTCACCTTTAGCACCAGACGACTCACCGTTCACACCTCCGCAACACCACACACACTTGGCAGCGATTACTACATCATCAGCACGCGTCTTACCCTCAAAGGCACCTCCACAACCCCCCCCCCCCCCCCCCCCCCCCCCCCCCCACTTCCACCACCAACACACACAGATTAGGATCTTTTCCGTGCCGAATGCCCACTACCACCCACCACCACTTGTGACTCCGACCTAAAACAAGGGAAGACCCACCTTTTCTCAGATAAACAGATTGCAACCAAAACTATCGACCCTCTTCCCTCAGCGGAATATGTAGATATCCACCTCCGTAACCTCTGGGAGGCCTACACCAGCCTAGACTAGCGCTGGCGGAAACACAGACGCCGACGCAACCTTCGTCTCAAACTACAAACCCTCCGCACAAAGGTCGAGACGCACGCACTCACACTAGCTAGGAACAACTGGAACAATATTTGCGACGAAATGCGAGGCCAGCTCTCTACTAAGAATGTTTGGCACATCCTCCGTGCCTTACTCGACCCGCACACTACTAAAACCCAATCTTACCACCAAACCACACACATTATGGCGGACACTCAACTCTCACTCACCGCCCTATGCGACACCCTCCGCCCCATATACATCCCACCTCCCTCATCATACCCTGTTGGTCCTCCACAATACACTGGCAACCCCAACACACAGCTCGACGCCCCCATAACCTTTCCAGAACTACAAGCGGCGGTGCAAGCCCTCAAACGCAACACCACACCAGGACATGACAACATCACAAACACCCTCTTACGTCACCTCAATGAGAAGGTCCTAGAACACCTTGTACAACTCTTCAACCAAAATTAGCTTAACAACACCCTTCCCTCCACCTGGAAACACTCCAACGTCACCCTCATCCCCAAACCTGAAAAAAAAAACAAAAAAAAAAACCTCCATACACAACCTTCGCCCCATCTCCCTTTCCTCCTGTCTCGGCAAACTTCTCGAACACGTCCTGCAGAATCGCGTCAATGCGGACCTTGAACACACACAAACCTACCCACCCAACATGATCGGCTTTCGAGCCAACTTATCCACGCAAGACGCCTTTATACAGTATCACCATGATTTCCACCAACACCACCCGCAACGACACCACACCTCTATACTCTCATTGGACCTCCAAACATCTTTTGACAATATCTCACACTATAGCATCCTTCAGGCAATTTCATCCCAAAACCTAGGCCTACGTACACTTCTACCACTACATCTATAACTTTCTCGCACAACGTACCGCTACCATCCGTTTGTGCCACGTCCAGTCTGATTCTCTTCACATGCCAGACCGCGGAACGCCACAAGGAGCGGTCCTCTCGCCCACGCTCTTTAACCTCACCCTAATCCCACTTGCCCCGCACTCTCCTCACTATCCCCACGCTACGCAGCACACTGTACGCAGATGACATTGCCCTTTGGGTCGACTCTGGCTCCGACCAACACATTGAAACAACACTTCAACACGGCCTTAACTAAGTCCTACATCACATCGAAATTTTGGAGCTCCAATGCTCCCCAAAACAAATCCGCTCTCCTCACCTTTACGCCCCCTCGCCACAACTCCCCCCCCCAACCCCCCATCAAACTTTTTATACACTCTGACCCAATACCACACACAAACAACAAATTCGACCTTTAGGTCTCACCCTCACACAAAACAGATCACCCGCACCCACCCTCCAATACGTAAAGAAAAATGTTACCCAAACCACGCACCCCATTAGAAGGATCGCCACTAAACACCACGGCATCAAGGAACAGGGCCGCCTCCGACTCGTCCACAGTTTTCTACTCAACCGTGTCCAATTCCAGCTACCCTACCTTAACCTTACACCCACCCAACTCGACTCCCTTGATCCGTTCCTCAGAAAGGCATACAGACATGCACTCCTACTCCCCCCTCACGCCCCAACGCACTGCCTGCTCGACCTCGGTAACACAACACAATATGCGAACACCTAGACGCCCACCACATGTCCCAACTCACCCGCCTCGCATCCTCGCCAGCAGGGCACTACATTCTTAACACTATAAACATACTGCCCTCCACCCATCCCAGTCCCCCTCCCCATTCCACCGCACATACGTAACCGCATCCGAGTCCACCCAATCTCTCGCCGCATGCACTCAACTTTCCATAAAGCCCGGCGAATAGAACGAGCCAACATCCACGCCAAACTATACCCATGCACCATCACCATGCACGCTATACACTGATGCCACACCCTACCTTAACAAACCTGCACACTGTGTAACTGTTCTGGGCCAACATCCACCACCAAACGTCACGGCGGCCACCATCCTCACTACGAACACAACCACGGCGGAGGGAGCGGCCATTGCCCTTGCGCTCGCCCAGAGCCCCACCCCCATTCGTCCTGTATCTGACTCTCAGCCGGCCATCTGCAACTTTATTCGTGGCAATATGTCCCCCATGGCCTTCCAAATTCTCACCAACAACCCTCCATTCTACACAGTGACGCTGCTAAGGACACCAGCCCACACAGGAGGCGCTAATAAGATGATGCACGACCGTGCTCGCGAACTTATCGACCGAGCCGCCATTTCAACTGCGCGTATACAGGCGATGCCCCTGCAGGCAAGTCTACCTCCCTCCTGCAATACAGGGATATTATTCTGCACTACCGCCTCCTCCGCCGCCGATACCCACCCCCGCACCACACCTCTCCCAAAAGGCAGCACACATGCTGCGCCTCCTACAAGCACACACCTTCCCCAACCGAACACAACTAATACACACTCGATCACCCACACCTCTTTACCACCCCCGATTGTCCTGCCTGCGGGGCACTCGACACTCACTACCATTCCCTTTGCGAATGCCCCGCCAGACCCATACCCCCTATTCTCTCCCCTCACCTCTGGGAGCAGACGTTGCGCGACCCGGAGGAGTCAGCCCAAGTCCTGACCACCTCCCGGGCCCTGGTGGTCGCGGCGGCCCTCTGGGCCTCCACCACCCCCAATACCTGATCCCGGAAGACTAATAAAGTTTCCTCCTCATCGAGAGCTAGTCTGGCCACCGTGGATAGAAAACGCTTTGTTTGGGCGCCAGTCTGGAATCCGTGGGCACGCCTCAGCAATGGCACCTAAGCACACGGACTAGCTTTGACTAAAGGAAAATTGGCGTCTCTCTCGCTGGGAGAAAGAGGCGGGGGTGATGTTTTTAGCTTTTTTGCCCGGGAGAAATCATTTCTGCAATACGGAGTTGTGCGAACTTTTGAGAGAGGACAGGGTTTCAGCTATGTATTGGCTTACATGAATTGAAATGATCCTCGGCAGGGGCTGGGAAGTGTCGTGTCCTCCCTCGATGGCGATTCCCAGCAGGGGTTTGGTCCTTTGCACGGTCACCCTCAGTCTGCCGCCCTCCAAGGCGTCAACCCGGTGGACCTGAATAGGAAGAGAGGAAGTTTGGAACACGAATGAAGTGTTTTCTTTCATTTTTCTTTTTGTGTATATGTGTGTATGTGCGATTGCCCTCCTAAAGCAGTTTCCAAATTTTCAAAAAGCGAGAATCTTATTAATTCTTTGTCTGTCGAGCCTCCTCGGAAGTCTCGAGAAGCAAATATCAATCGGCAGAGTCTTGAGTTGTTAGAGTGGCCCGCCATGCATGACAAGAGGATGGCCACAACATTAACTCGATTCTCCGGGTAGCATCGAAACTGTTCGGATGCACTGGTGCGCACGTCACGTCGGAAACAGGGAACATACACTTTTTTATGGTACTCAACGAGGCGCACCGCCTCATTGTGCCCACCTTCGGAACAGAACATGGTGTTTTATTAAAACTTTGGTTTGGGCTAGTTGGTTCATGGTAGGTATAAGGTTCAAAAGCGCAAACAGACAGGGACAATAAGAACTAACACAAACGACAGGGACGGGCGTCCGTCCCTGTCGTTTGTGTTATTTCCTATTATCCCTGTCCGTTTGCGCATTTAAACCTGATAAGAACATGGTGGCCTGACTTCCGTCCGTTTACGTCCCCACGATGCTGGCGCTGCACGGTTGTAGACAACATTCTGATGCATGTCACGTCACGGGTAATTTCATTTGAAAATGTCACGGTTAATATCTTTCGCATAAAATCATATTAATATAGAATTGCATTTTAAAGGAAGCCAACTCGGATTTTGTGACCATGGAAGGGGCGTGGCCCAGTGGAAGGTAGCAAATTTGGCCAGCTGCCGAAAGTTAGAAAAAAAAAATAAATAAAGAGGTAAGAGACGACAACGGAGGCAAAGTCTTGAAAAGACGCGGGGCGTGAGAGCGTCGGCGGCGTTCCTCATAAAACGTGTAAGTCAGTTGGTTCGATTGTTAAATTAAAATGTAAGCGCGTCTTTTTCCATTCGCAAGTCATGTTGTTGGTTTCTGGGTAGAAAACAGAGTTTGAACGGTCAATTCTATGCAAAGAGCTCAACATCCATGCATTCCTCCTCACGTCCTAGATACCTACGTCAGCTCACTTTACGACCGAGAGGGACCGAACCGGTTTTTAAGCCTCTTGCGACGTCTTAGGACCGGGCGCGCTGCTGCGGAGCTGGTCCTAAGACGTCGTAAGAGGATTAAAAACCGGTCTTGTCTCTCTCGGTCGTACTCGGTTCCAAGAGTGTGAACGAGCCTTTACAGTCTGAAAAATGCTCGCAAAAAACGATGTAGTACTATTATTTGAAGGGGAAAACAAATATGTTAGCTATTTAATCTCCGAAGATAGAAAATTACTCCACTGATATACCCCAATATAAAACATTTTCTCTCCCGTAAAGGATGAAAATTCCCGCTTAGCTTATGCCGATAAAGAAAACTTGTTAACTTTCCAGAAGGAGGAATTCATTGCTAATTGTTGACCGACGAACAAACTCTTATTCCTCAGCAAGAGAGTGAAGCGTTTTGTTTTTAAAACTTTTATTGGAACAATCTCGTCCTCGTTCGAAACATTTCCCATAGTTAGCTTGAAGAATATCACTTTTGCGGTCGTCAAAGAGATAGATACCTGGCCCATAGCCTTCCAAGTACCGCACGTTAATGCATTGAGTGTATAATCGTGAGTCAGAGTTTCAAAGAACAAAAAAGCGGCGGCACTAAACGATGCAGAATTCTTCAAAATATAGCCAACACGACGTTAGCAAACAAGTCGGTGTTCGACCACAACGGGCACTGCGCATGAGCAGAAACCACATTCTAGTGAAGAGTTTTTTTTGTTTTTTTTGCAGTAAGCTGCTTCCGTCGACGCTTATTCTTTATTTTGTTTCAAGGGACAAGTTTGCCAAATACATCTTTATTTTTCTGCTAGCTCGTCGATCCGTTTCAATCGGTGACAATATATATCTGTTACGGCCAGTCGTCTGATCACACAGATGTGCATCGAAGCAATCGTGATGTCAGAAATCCTTGAATCGTATGCTGGCCTGCACTTCGACATTGATACACTTCACGTCGTCGTCGTCATACGTGATTCGGCTTCACAGTGTTTTCACCTTCTCAAATATGCGGAAGCGAGCTCCACGCGAAGGCGTTCGCGCGCTCACGCACCTCGAGTGTCGATCAAAGCTGTCCACAGGCACTTTTCGCTTCCCAAATCCACGGAAAGTTGAGCCGAGAATAGAAGTTTCGTCGATCGTCACCAACCTCATTCAACGTGATCGTGCCCTCACAAAAATAGATATCGACGTCCTATGTTCATACTAAGGCCATTCTATTACCCCCGTGTCCATCTTATGGATTCTGTAGACAGTTAATGAACCGTTCAAGGACAGCTAGTTTGCCATAGAACGTCCATAACAATATAGGGAAACCCCGATACAAAAAGCGTTTTTCATTTCTTCCTATTGCCATGCTATGGCCTTGGTGTGTCCATGGACATCCTAGTACCTCTCTATGGTGTGAGCTGTAGATTGGTAGATTAATACAGTGATGGCCGGGTAGATGTTTGCGTTAGGTGTAGGGAGGTGTCCGAGTTAGAGTTAATTAAGCCGGGCATCAATATGTTACATTGATGTCGAGACATGCCCAACTTCAGGGCATACTCAATGTGGTGGTTGAAGTGTCCAGTATGTACCGAAATAATTCTTACGTGCTGCTATCTTATTCTGTTGTCTTATTCTAAAAAAACAAACAAACAATAACACCGCCTCCCTTTAGTGACGAGTTGAAACATGAAAGTTCCTTTCTATGGCTATTGCTAGAGTCACTGAATGTTCCCAGAGTACCGAAACTTCCAGGCTAGAGGTGCCAAGATAGCGGTTCATTCTTTTTTCTTTACTGTGGTAACCACGAGCTTTTAGAAAGCATATTTTTGCGTAAAAATAAACGAAAAAAAGGTATTTTTGTAGGAACTTTTATTCGAGATTAGTACGAAATGACCGGCTCGTAATGTTTTCTAAAATCTCTACTTAACAAGGTTTTAAACCGCAATTTATGTTGATTTTATACAACCATGTCTCACCGGTAGTTTATGGTAGCGCATCACTCCCTGGGCTTATTCTAACCTCGGCAGTAATTCGCGGCGCGTCCGCTTGGAAGTTGGGGGTTTGCATCCCTGAAACCCCTTCCACCGTATACGTTTCGGTGCCAAAATGGCCGATAAAAGCCAAAATAAAAATTCGCAGCGAACGCTATCGAATCTCATACTCCCGAACCAATACAAGCAGCCGTGCAGTTCGCCAAGTGGTCGCTGCGGAGAAATGGTGACGTTGCGATCGCTATTAGTTCGGTTCTCGAGTACGGGTCGGTGCCACTTTTTCAGAGCAGGCTCTATGGCAGTTTCCCAACTGATTTGTTCTAGTAACGTTGGCCCCTGCGGACCCCATAACTATACCCCCTGCCGACTGAATGGCTTCTCGACGGACCCCGTAGGAATTCCGCGCAGACTCTGTATGGCTTCTCTGCAGACTTCATAAGGACCCTGTGTAGAACCTGTAAGGCTTCCCTGCGGACTCGGTAGGGACTCTCTGTAAACCTTGCATGGGTTCTCTGCAGGCACCCATAGACCCGAGCAGCACAGATTTGGCGAATCATTGGCCAATGGCTGGCAATGGTCCTTTGACCAGTGGCCAGAGAGTGGCCAGTCACTGGCCGATGACTGGAGTTTTTCTGACCATTGGACATTGGACACTGGCCATGAGCCATCGGCCAAACGTTGGCCGATGAATGGCCACTTTTTAGCCATTGGCCGAAACGCCATTGCCAGCCATTGGCCAACGCATGGCCAAAATCTGTGCTGCTTGGGGACACCATACGGATCCTGTAGACACCCTATGCGGAGTGCAGGTTCGTCTGTTTCCTGCACAGGGTTTGCGATGACCTCAGAACGCCAAATTCTTATTGGCTGATTAAAAAAAATATAGTGGGTAGACGTCAAGATATCTAGCATTGAGGACTACCTACTATCCTTTCAATCAAAGCCGATCAGAGTTCGGCGTCGTTCTGACGTCACCGCAATTCCTGCGCAAGAAGCAGACGACTTGCTCTCCGGATAGAGCCCGTATGGACTCTATGGGTGTCTTAGTATAGATAGGGTATAGGATGACCTTACATCGTTACTAGAATAGGATGTCCATAGAATGTTCGTTGGCCACTGTTCTATAGGGAGGTCATAGAAAGAGTTCAGGAAGGCAACAGTAGTCGTGGTCTGCGTATAGATGCCTTATGTTTTTCTTAACGACGCTGCCTTATAGCACATCCTCGGTGTGTCCATACGTATTTTTGTAATAAGTACCCCTAACAAAGAACCACTGAACCCGCGAAGCCACTGTGTCATCTGCTAGCAAGGCGAAGAAGGTTATGAAACTTTATTACGTGCTTTTGCCATCGCTTTATGGTACTAAGACGACAGATAGAAGTTTTTATAATCTGATACTTACGAGACTAAATGCTTACAAAAATTATTTACTTTTTTTTTTTGTATGAGACAATTTTTAACCTTACGCCAAGCCCCTATGCATTTGTCCATGACAACGGCCCTAGCAACGGTTTGTTTGGAGCCGAGCGCCATGTTGTGATGTCATTACTTACGGGGTCAATTTTCAACATGGCGTCGTATCACGGGAGTCGCGGGCTGGACGGCTGAACCACGCTGAACGAAGCGGACTAAGCGATGGCGGCAGACGACGGACATGAGATTTGTACTTCAGAACTGTTGTTCACGGTATCGGCGAATCTGTCCAGCTCCGAAAGAGAAATCGTTTTCCGATCAAAACAATTAGGATTTATTCCGTATGACACGCCGGAACACCAAGCTGATTCGCACAAAGACCTCACGGAGTCGCTGCCCCTTCTTCTGCATGGATGAAGACAGCGGTCGTCTTATGAATTCAATAGCAGAGTGCTAACACACGTTTTAATTAGCACTGTTTAGATCCAAGGCTAAGAAAGAAAGCCAGCTCTACCGCGAC